AACAACAGTGACAAAACAAGTAGGATACTCAATGGTGGGGAGTGACTTGTCTCCAGGGTGCCCTGAATCAACTCATCCACATCAGTTCCTTATTTATCTCAGGTATATCTACTTAAGCCACAACATGTCTGTATTCTGTATCTACTATGAAATATGCCAGCTCTATAAGGCACGCTCATGCTGGGCACCCTGCTAGGAGATTTACACTGTCCTCTCTATAGCCATGTCAGGTAGAGCCTAATATTCCCATTTTACAGATGAGAAAAGTGAGACACAGGAAAGTCACACAGCTTAGCCAGAGTCCCATGGCTAGCACGTTATTGAGTGGAAATGGCACATACCAAAGCCTGTCTTCCCACTCTACTGTGTTTTTAATCACTGTCTGAATGGGGAAAGGATAAGAATGAGCAAGACACAATTCCCACTTTTAGGAGGTTCTAGTCTAGTTGCAGAGGTAATTATGTACACAGAGATATGAGGGGACTTCAAAAAGTTTATGGAAGAAAGGAATTAAAAGATAATACTGATCTTTCCATGAACTTTTTGAAGTCCCTTCATATGTGTGCACAAGCAGAGTAAAGGTCTGAGGGAGAGGAAGGGGAGTATATTAGTCAGCTATTGCTGCCATAACAAACAACCCCAAACCCCAGCAATTAAAACAACAGCTCTTGCTCACTTATCTGTGAGTTGGCTTATCTGGCTTGGGCTCCATTTAGCAGCTTTGCTTCAGGTTGAAGATCTGCTGGGCTTGGGTGCTCACCATGGGATGGATTGAGGTCTGCTGATCATGGGCCCGCAAGTGATGGTGGCCATCTCCTGAGGGAAGCTCTTCTCGTGGTGATGGCAGAGACACAAAGGGAAAAGTACAAACACACAAGTACATTGCAAGCTGTTGCTTGCTTTGTTTCCACTAATCTCCCATTGGCTGAAGCAGATCTCACGGCCAAGTCCCAAAATCAAGAGGCAGAGCACAGGGTAAGGAGGGATATAGAAGAGGTGAAGAACTGGGCCCAATAATCTAATCTACTCCATAGAACTTTAGTCTTTACAGTAAAATATTCACTTTATTAATTTTCAAATGGTAAGTATTTTTTTAAATTTAAAACCAATTTTTAAAATACTACAGTGTAAAACCCATCCCAGGAAGGTTAGATGGACATACCCCAAGGCCACATTTCCCAACCCATCTGCTATACGCCAATAATACACACACACACACNGAGATCCCTCAATTATCGGACCTACCAATATTTTATGTACCAATCAGAAAAAAAGCATCACCATTTAAGCTATAGCACAATGCTTGCATACCTCTTAGAATTTTTATTATATAGTTATTAAAAGAGCACTTGTAAATGTATTTAGACCGATTTGTAGGATATCACACTCTTGTGTAAAGGAAAATACACTCGAAAGTAACTGGTTGAGGTAATCTTCTCTGACTTTCTTCACATACAGAACTCGAATATTTAGAATCACTTTGTGACTTAGAGTCA